GAGGGGAGCCTCAATTCTCCGGCATTTAGCCATTGAAGAGGCTGCCCCTCAAAAGCCCTATGGCCTGGAGCCTATCACAAAGGCTCCGTGTGAGTGCTACTTGAGGTAGCATCCCTCCATACCGCTGGTGTGCGAGTCGCTCCCCCAAGGTCCGGGGAGAACGACCACCATTGCTGATCCACAAACCGGAAGTCGTCAAATATATCTTGAAGGAATTTTCCTGTTTATTTTCCCAAAGGCATAGCTCTCCCAATTAATTTGTGCCTTTTTAAAAAAGCGATTGAACTTAAAAGCTACGATATTCTCTTTTTTCATCAAGTTTTTATGATGTAGCAAGTTCTATGATGCCCTTATAGCAGTTTTGATGAGAAAATAGGTCATTAGTTCTGATATCCACAGAGATTCTATAGAAATTTAACATGAAACAAATAAACAAACTCCCTTTATGTCAATAACCAGGTATTTTTGACCAATGCACACTTTAAGAGAGATTTAAAATTTGAAATTGCCTAGAAGCATGAATCCTTAATAATGTAATACGAGCTTTGACTCGGCTGGAAATGTGGAGTCAAGCTGAGATTGTTTTAGTGTGAGCAGGAAGCTTAAGACTTTATTTGAAGTATTTACAATATTGCCAGTTTTGGCTTGGGAGGGGGAGGAACCAAGCCCCTGTGTCCTTTACCAATCAGTATGAATCAGTAGACTATGTATATAGTGTATTAACCCTGTGGAGGGGTGATGCAGATGTGGGATGTCAGCTCTTTTCTCTGCAAATGCTTTGCACCTGGCTTTATGCTACTTCAGTGGCTTGGCTTCTGCAGCAACATTGTTTGGCTTCCTTCTTGCAAGAGAAGTATGAAACCTACTTCCTCTTATGTTGTTGGCCCATGTTGTATTGGTTCCGTCACTAATGGTGTATCTAGGGCCCATGTGATGCTCACAGGTAATGATGCTATAATACGTTACCATGGCAACATGGGAGTTTGCCCTTGGACAGTGACTTTATGGCAGTAACTAGACACCTGAGGTCATAGAAAACCTGGCTTGACTTGGTTCTGGGAGGCAGATACAGAAAGGGCACAAATGTGAAGAGCCTAGGATGGGAGGCTTTGTAAGCTAACTCCTTTGTAACTTCTGCTTTTGAGGTCATATGTCTTGCAGTAATAGAGCATTTAAATATTCTGGGATGGAACTGTAGTAACAACCTATCTCTTTGTCATGTCTCTTCTGCCGAGTATTCTCATGAAAGGGGATTGCAAACACCCTGGGATCATACGAAACCCTAAACTATCACATTATTTGGGTTAAGGCTGGAAAGTCCAAAAGCTGAGAATCGAGTTAGGCTGTTTTGTACTTTATACTTGAGATAAGAATAATCTTTTTTTCAGCTCCCAGGATTTTTTTTTCTGCTAAACTCAATTACCTTGAGAACAATCCATACTAAGTTTCCTCCCCTCCTTTTGCTTGGTTTTGAGAAGCCTGGATATTTTAAACATGGAAATGGGAGGAGCAAAAGGAATCTATATCAGTTGGCCATTAAAAAAACTACATAAAATATTAACTTCTCAAGATAATTTTTCTCAGAATTCTTTTTCATTGATCTTCTGGCTTTTAAAGTTCTGATCTGTTTTTTTTTTAATGGATAGGGAATGTCCTTTGGCATAAAATCATGCAAACTAACCCAGGCTGCCTTTACAACTAGTCAGTTATGAAGTTGTTAGTGCCTCCTTCGAAATGCTTGTAGTTTTGGCTGTCTCCATTCTCATCCAGCCTTGTAAAAGTGTGCCTTTTTACATCCAGTAAAACCAATCTACTAACCAATGTAAATGAGAAAGGGATTGAATAAGTTAAAGTACAGGGAGAGGCTTGTTCCTTGATGGACCCTCTGCTCCATATGCTTATCTAATATCAAAAGGGAATTAGATAAGCATATGGAGCAGAGGTCCATCAGTGGCTGTTAGCCACAAGGTATAGATAGGGACTCTGGGGCAAGTGATGCTCTGTCTTCTTGGTGCTTGGGGAGGGTCAACAGTGGGAGGGGTTCTAATGTCCTGACCCCACTGGTGGACCTCCTGATGGCACTGGTATTTCTGGCCACTGTGTGATACAGAGTGTTGGACTGGATGGGCCTTTGGCCTGATCCAACATTGGCGTCTCTTATGTTCTTATGTTCTTGACTGGCCTTTGTGTGTATGCACTTATGATAAACTTCAGCATACAAACTTTGAGTGGGTGGCCATGTTGGTCTTCAGTGGAACAGGATTCAAGCCCAGTAGCACCACCTTTAAGACCAACATGATTTCTGGTTTGTAAGGTTTTAACAATCAAAGCTCCCTCCATCAGATCTATGGAAGGGAGCTTTGACTCTTGAAAATCTATACCACAGAAATCTAGTTGGTCTTTACAGTGCTACTGGACTCACATTTTGCTGGAGCATATAAAACGGTTCTCTATCAAAGTATAATAGTTTTGATCCACTTTGGAGAAAAACTGGCAGGGTACTTTTTAAATATGAGGGAAGGTGCCTGATTGACTAGTTGCTGAAATTGTAGGTCAGCTTCTGTTCTTCATATTTTCATGTTCTGACTTCATATCAGCCCCAAAACATCTGGATTGGGAACTCTAAGAGCTTGCTTTATAATCGAAGGGCCAGTTATCTACTGACCTGTTCAGCAGAACTAAATGAATCTGAGACTAGTGAGTCCTTTAGACCTTCAGAAGTGACTTGAGATTTTAACAGGCTGCTCTCAATTTAAAATAGGGATTTAAAAACATAAAAGACTTGACAGATAAGGTTTCCTCTTGCCTAAACAGTTTTCCCTTCTGTTTATCCAATGTAGGCACACCAGCTTCAGTTTCTTGTGCTGCCCATTGTCATGGAATGTTTTACTTCCTGTACGTTGATAGAGTGAAGAGAATGGGTGCAGCTCAGATCATAAATATAGCTCTCATCAGGCCAGATAGCTTCTAGTTTTCCTTGAGCATGAATCACAGGGGGAATGGGAGATGGAAATGTCCAACATTATGTTTGTCTGCCCATTTCCACTTTAAATTCCATAGTGATTAGTAAAATCAACTTTTTCCTTCATAGGTCACAGTCCTTAAAGGTTTTATTTAGTTTTTTCTTTAAAACAACATTAATTATTGTCTGTAGGCATTCAAAAGCTTAGTCAGTAGACATCAGCTAAAACTTTCAGTTATTAATTGTAGGGGCCTGACCATCTGTGATGCATTTGAAATTATTTTGTACTCTCAAATGTTGCTTATCCCTGGTTGTGAATGTGTAGAGCTGAGTATGACTTGAGAAGCTCTTAAGAGGTTGAGCACAGTCACCTAACACAGCTCAGACAATTGGATTTGCCCCATTCCCATGGCAAGTTTTCCCTTTGGCCTTTGTAATCTCAGCCCCAGTCTAATGAAGGGGGATTTTAAAAACCCCAAAAACTTCTGTCCTTTTCACAAAAAAATGGTCCTGACATTGTAATGCATGGAAGGTACATCTAGATGAGATTTTCTGGTGTGTAAACTGCCTTTCGCCCCATGACAAGCAACAAGTTAAATATAAATGCATATTTTTTGTTAAGATACTCAACCCTTTCCCTTCCAGCTATTTTTCTTATTTGAATCATTTCTCAGCTATTTCCTCCCCCAAACAGAATCACGGTTTTCGAGGCTAAATATACACTTGAACTCCCAAAAGGGTGGATGCACCCAGGGAGGCCCGTTTAGAGCACAAGTTTGGCCAGTTTTCTCTCCTCCCCCAACTCTGTGACAGTTTCTGATATATAAAAACATTGTCTCAAGAAAAGCGACTTTGCCATTTTCTGTGTACTGACCATCACTGTCCCACCTCTCCTCTTCCTACAGGCTCAGAAAACCCTGACGCTGAAAAGGAGCATCAACAGAGCAGCCAGGAAAGCTGGGTCCAGAGAATGTTTATGGCCCTTGTGGGTGACAGCGCCCTTTTCAACACCAGAGAAGGACGGGCAGGCAAAGTCCACAATTTCATGCTGGGCCTGAATCTGAACACATGCTATCCATTTTCCCCTCTGACTAACTTCAATACTCAAGAATCTGTAGAGGACGATGAAATGGATACTGCTGTGGCAGGTCAGTGCACAGACAAATCTTCATTCAGCTGTTCTCATGCCAAGAACCTGTGAAACGCAGTCCCATGCATGCGTATTTGTATTTGAACTTCATGCATTTTCCTTCTAAAATGCATAAGGACACAACCGTGGCTTGACTACAATGCCTACTACCAGGTTCCTGTACCAGAAGGGATTTACTTTTAAAAAGTGGCTTGCTTTGCTAGGAATAGGTTTCTTACAGGTCCAGTTCTCTGCAGCATTGAGGAGGGCAGTGATCTGCTATCTGCTATCGAGCTTTGGTTTGCTCTTGGACATTGGTGGTATGAGAGGTAATGGGCGCTTCCTGAACCCATGTCCCCACTGCTTGGGTCTGTGGTTAGCTCTTATGGTGTTGCTGTGGGGCTCAGCTTGGACCCAGCCAGCAAGCAGTGTGAGAGAAAGCAGGTTGTGTAATTTGCTTGGGGTGACAAAATGCTTTGAACCAGCTCTTGAGTCTTGTATTGGGTGTGTATGTTTGTATGAGATGATCTGAGTTCAAATCACAAAACCTGCAATAAAACAAAAAACACTTCAGCACAGTAGCGGCATGAAAACGCATCAACTACCAAAGATGAACTTGTAAAAAAGACTCTGCATCCCATCCTTCTCTTAACTGAATGCAATTTTTATTTAAAATTAAAAATAAAATAAAATACATCACCATTAATAAAATGAAGACTAGTTAGGCAATTAAGATATGAAACCAGAAAACCAGTGTTAATGCCAATGTAGGGACTGCAATCAAATTAAAAATCAACAAAGTATGCCTGTTTATCTATTTAATGCATTTGCCTCTCACCTTTCTTTGCTTAAGGTGACTAGCATTTAGGAAAATATTTCCAAATAGCGAAAAATAAAATGAGACAATAAAACGAATCACCCTCCCTCCCTCAGCCAGTCTGGTCTTGATAATACACAGTGGAATGGCTCCCTCATCGAGGATTGACTCTTGGGTGGCATAATTCTTCCCTGGCATTCATCATCAGCATCTGACTGTTTATTCAGTTGGCACTCGAGGCATCTTCAGTTCTGGGAAGGTCTGCAAGAGGGAATAGATCTTAATTAACCCTGGCACTTCCAGAGTTCCCCCGTAATAACCAATATCCCCCCCCCCCAATCTGTTTAAACAAATGTCATTAGGAAAGATGGGAACTGTTTGTCATCATGGGATTGTAAATTGTCCCTAAATGTTTAAAAGCTCAGATAACACCGGAGCTTTGAGAAGAGTATTTGTTAACACAAATCACTCTTCTAAGTGGCCATGTCATCATTTCCATCTGTGTCCTGCTAAATATTTTTTTAATTAGTTCACAGGTGTTTACAGCTATTGACTACTAATATTTACAGAGAACATGGAAGTGGGCATCTAAATCAGAAGAATGTATCAGTGGGGGAAAAAGAGATTGAATGGCAACTGTCGGTTTGAACTTAGTCATTGCAAAAACCTTACTTCACTGCTTTTGCATGATGTCATATAAGGAGGCTTTGTTTTGGGTGACTCACTGGTAGTTGGGTGCCAGTCCATCAGCCTATGGCTAGGCCTTATTTCAATTCTCTTCAAGTTTAGAGCAGTAGTTTGTTAGTGGAGGCTGGAAATCGAAGCACACATACTTCCAGTGGGATTCGTTTGACTGTTTCTAAGGTTCAGTTTGAACGTAATGGGCTGTAATAAAAATTTCCCTTACAGAGTTGATCTTCCTTGCCTTATTGACATATAATTAAAAAAATTTAGACTTGCATGCTTCTTTTGCCTCTGCACAGTTGGGCCCATTACACACACAGAGCCAGTTTGGTGTAGTGGTTAAGGGCGCGGCCTCTAATCTGGGAGAACCGGGTTTGATTCCCCACTCCTCCACTTGCAGCTGCTGAAGTGACCTTGGGTCAGTCACAAGCTTTGGCACAGCTGTCCTTGAAAAAGAGCACTTTGTGTCAGAGTTCTCTCAGCCCCACCCACCTCACAGGGTGTCTGTTGTGGGGAGGGGGAAGGGAAAGGAGTTTGTAAGCCGCTCTGAGACTCCAAGTGAAGGGCGGGGTATAAATCCAATCTCCTCCTCCTCCTCCTTACTGCAGATTTTCAGAGCAGTTAAGCCTTTAAGCTTGACTTCAGATTCTGTGCCCACCTTACATACACCGTTCTTTTTCCTCCAGTGCATTTGTTCTGCAGCTACAATTTTGTAAATGAGCTTTTCTAAATCAGGGTGGAACATCACTTGTGACTTAGGGGTGTCCAGGGCTTAAAACAAAATTTACACAATTGCCTTATCACAACTGCGCAGTAGTGTCCATCAGGTGCCTTCCATTTATATCCTCATGGTTCAGGTTTTGCACATGCATTTTAGCATTAGTTTGTTGAATGAAAAGGAACACAAAGGAATGCAGGCAAATGGGAAAACCGATGTTGAAATTGACAAGACTTTTTTTTTGAAACTGACAGGCAGCTGCCAAGCCCAGTTCCCCATATTGCAGAGCACTAGGGGATTCTCTGCTGTGTTCAGTCACTGTGAAAAATGGGAAGGTGTCACATAATATGGGGAAACATGTTGAGTTTACCGAATGCATGGTAGAACCCATTGCAAGCTTGAACATTGGCAGTATGTGTGCATGTGTGTGCTTGTGCAAAGTCAGCTGCAACTCCACCATGCTTTGCACAGAGCTGCAATTTGTATGGGGGAAGAGTCCTCTGGCAGAAGCTCTGGAGAGCTTTTTTAGTCTTGTACCAGTAAATTGAAAAGGGGGGGGGGTATTTTCAGCACTGCTCTAGCGCAGCAGCATAGTAATGCTAATTTCCTGCTCTTACTTGCAAATTTTTGTTGTTTTCTCTTTGTGATTCTCTAATTTGATCATGCACACTGGTTGTGATCTTGGCAGTTTTTAAAAGCCTGTCCTATACAGATTGCACTCTGTCCTCCAGATGGATCAATCCCAAGCGATTCTTAAGTTTGGCAGTTCACAAAAGGTCCATGTGGCTCAGCTGCCATTTAATGTTAGGCTTTTGGAGACTGCGGAAATGGTTCTGCCCCCCAACTTTTGTTCACTAAAGCATTAAACCTTTAGGCTTCCCATCCCAGTCTCTCTCTCTCTCTCTCTCTTTCTCTCTCTGTTTACATCTCATGTCAATTTCATTCTACACTTATGATCTCTTGTATATTTTATTTGCATGCAGCACTGAAATCCTTTTTTTTCCCCTGGGGATACTGCCGTTTGTGTCCTCTCTGATCCCCATTTCAAGTCAATACCAGCAGGGAACTAAACCTCATGCAGCTCCTTTTAAACCTCCCCTCTTTGGTTTATTTTTTTTAAATTCAGTGATCTGAGACTAGCAATAGTATGATATCACTAGACTCATGCTGCTTGTCAAAAAATTAAAAATTTAAAAACAAAGGGGAAAGGGAGCTTGTACACGAATGAAGGGGGGAGGACGGCGGAAGGTGCAGAGTGAGTGGAATGACCTCGATGTGGGTGGGTGGGGGAGTGACCTTCGAGGGGCGGCAAAAGAGTGTGGGGGAAAATCTGAGGGAATCTTTATGCTTTTGAATTACCTTTGGCTTTGAAGTGAAACAAGGGGGAAATTGGCACAAAAGCACTCTCAGAAACTCAGGGAAACAGTGACCAGAAAGCAAGCTGAGTGCTGAAGAGAGGAAAATCAATGCATAATGAAAAAGAAAACCCGACAGACACGCATAGTGAAAGCAAGGGAAAACACCCATGCGTAAAAGGCCTTGGTTTTTAGTTGTTGTAGATTTTCTGGGCTGTATGGCCGTGGTCTTGGCACTGTAGTACCTGATGCTTCGCCAGCAGCTGTGACTGGCATCCTCAGAGGTATAACACAGAAAAATGGAGTACTCTCTGTGTCAGTGTGAGAATAAAAATGGTAGGCAGGTGATTTATATCTACTCAGGAAGGTGGGGTAGGGCTGAGTCATTATCTTGTAGAAGTTTCCCAGGCTGTGACATGCTAATGGAGGAGCTTTCCTGAGGAGGTTCTTTTGCACATGGATTGGCTGTTGAAATTCTAGTCTTATCTGTAGGGCTGATGTAAGATGTAGAGCATTTTGAGTTTTTCAGGATGGGAAACCATGCCCTATTTATTTCAAAACTGTCTTCTTTCCTGTTGAAATTGTGTTTATGTTAATGAATTTCAACAGCTTCCCTATGTAATCTGACATGGTGATTGGATGTGTTGTCCAGCCTTTCAGTGTCTTGGAATAAGATACTGTGTCCTGTTTGAGTTAGGCTATGTTCAGGTGTAGGGTATGCTTTGTTAAGTAAGTGCAACCTGCATGAAGAAGATTAAGAAGCATTGGTCTTCCACTCTGAGAACTGTTTGTGGGATGGGGAAATACTTTCCTACTGAGCAACAACAAACAAATCAATTTAAAAACCCATCCAAGTCAAGAATAAAAACAAAATGCAGATTTAGTGATTTTTAAAGAAAAATTTGTAGTGTTTGCAATGAGCTTCTTTCCTTTTGTGTCTCGCATTAAAGTCCCCACATAGCAATGCTGAGAATGCATATTTCAGAAAAAGTGAACTATTTGAGAGCATTTGATAAACATTTTTTAAAAAATATCCACAAATATGTATGTGTGTGTGTGTGTGTATTTGTCATAGCAAACAGCTAAAAATAAAGTCCGCTACCACAGCTACCTGAAGTAATTTTTGACCATTTCCATTTTCAATTTTTCAACACTCTTTTGTCTAAAATGTGCTGTGGACATGAGTTAACTCTGAAATGTCAAAGTTTTGTCATTCAAATGCCTCTTAAGCAAGTTTAAAATAAACAACATGCACCAGAGCAGCTATCTGTGTGATTCACCAGAAAGAGTATAGGGCTTGGTCCAATTCTTTATTGATTTACTGGCTGGATCTGTGGAATCTAGTGTCTTGGTCTCTGCAAAATGGGAACAACAATGGTCTCTTTAAGCAGGTTTATTAGTAGAATGGATAGCATAGTGAAATACTTTTGCATACAATGAGGCTT